CTCACAAGCTGGAGGCGGCCGTGTACCCCTCCCGAAAGCTGCCCACTTGGACTTGGTCATTTGAGTGGGGTTCTGTTTCTTTGCGGTGGCAGGTTACAGATGCTCCGTCCCAGGAAGGTCACCTCTCGGAGCAGGAACCCGAGCCGCCCAAGGCAGACAGTGACAATGTCTTTCTCATCAGGGCGCAAGGATTCCCCTTCTCCTGCACCGAGGAAGATGTGCTTACCTTTTTTGAAGGTATGAGAGTTAGGTTTCCTGCGTAACTGTTCAGCGCGGTATTATCGAACCCCATAGTTAACGGTTAGTTAACAGAAAGAAAATTTGAAAATTGTTAGCCAGAGAAAGAAGAGTCTTTAATATTGCTGCAAAATTATTCACAATTTACACATATAAAACAAATTGCCAGGTTCCACACTGCTGCACAATGACTAGTTACTCATCCTTATGGCATTTTGTATTGCATTGAGCAAGTCTTTCCCTTCTCGGTCAGTGTCTCCACAGTAAAGGCAATCCAATTCAAAGTGGCTCCTTTAAAGGCCATTGTGGTTGGCTTTTCACCAAGTTCTCTCTTTTAAATAAACTGGACTATTTTTTAATTACTGGTTCATATTTCAGTGTTGGTTTCTGATCCTAATGAATAGGCTTGCACATACCTTTGCAGGGCTGATTCCTCCATGCTGTAATATTACGTTGCATCCTTCCAGAGTAGACTAGATAATCAGATCCAGGTTTTTAAATGGTTTAATAACCTGCCAAGCTAAACTAAGTGACTTTGAAATCCTAGGGGAAAGGAACACAGAGCAGCCAGAGTATAGCTATAGAGACTGAAAAACTATAGCATTGGTTCTTGATTTCAAGTAACTCAGAAACAATTACATCTACCAACAATATGAGACTATATGTTATCCAGTTAGACTGCTGTGGAAGCTAACAGATGGCAAATCAGTTGCTTAACTGCGATAAGCATTGTGTGTGAGAGTTAAGGCTTGAAATAGGAGTTTCCTATCCTTTGTTTCAGGATAGTATCTTGCACTGCTGAGGGGGGACAGCTCTGTGCAGAATATGCAGTTTTCATCCGCAATCCACAGATCCCCACATTTGATGCAGTTGCGTATGTTTCTGTATCGTATGTTCCTTGATTTCTAGGCTGTAGAATTCGAAACGGTGAGAACGGCATACACTTCCTCTTAAACAGGGATGGGAGACGCAGGGGGGATGCCTTGATCGAGCTGGAGTCAAAAGCAGATGTCCAGAGAGCCTTGGAAAAGCACCTGAGGTATATGGGCCCACGCTATGTTAAAGGTGGGTGTGAAATGACAGAAGCTATGTTGCAAGCAACCTCACGGTTAAGCGAATAAGAACAGCTTGAATAATAAAACTGGGTGGTGTGGAGAGGTGCGGGATGCAGAACAGAGCATCAAATTAGCCAACAAGGTACCATTAAGCCAGAACTTCCAGGGCTGGACAGGAAAGACAGAGCAGCTTGTGTAGCAAGAGGCACCATGGCAGGACTGCAGAGTACGGGGTGAGGGAAGAAACGTAAAGTTGGGGGCAGGGGGCGGGGAAAGCTGCCTTGAAGAACGCCTACGGAGCACCACCGTCTGCGTGCCATGGGGGAAAACATGTTTTGTGCTTGTATTCCTTGCAGTTTTTGAAGTACACGACAGTGATGTAGAAGGCTTACTACAAAATCTGCGGGATGAGTCACAAGCCATAAATGATGGAGTCGTGCTACTCAGAGGCCTTCCGTTCAGCTCCACTGAGGATGATATTGCATATTTTTTCTCAGGTAACTCAGCATAGTCCACGCTCTTCAATATTGCATATTTTTTCTCAGGTAACTCAGCATAGTGCATGCTCTTCGGTTATGAGGCATTTACTTCTCCAAGTTGATGCTTAGCCAAGCTGCTGTTCCTCTGAGAAAAGGAGAAACACATGCAGCCTTGAACACCTTAAACCATCTAAGGAGTTGCTGTGCCTCTGCACCTAGAAGTAACTGAAGCTTTCTGACCAAGCTTTTGGCTGCAGGGCATTCGTGCACCTCAGACTTTCTGCAGGTCTAACCTAGGATCACTGCTTGCAGTTCTCTTATGGGGGTGGAGGAACCGAGATCCTACTATCTGCAGTTGGATTGCTACTGGTGCACAATTTGGCAGAATTAAGAGGGGGAAAGATGCCTGTATGGTAGTTAAAGTACAAGTGAATGCAGCGTGAGTACTCACAGATGGATAATCACAACAGTTTGATCATGTGTGCCACCGTTAAAACCGTTAACGACAATTTTTTTTATTACGGGTTGTTAATGGTTGTGAGAGTTAACTGCTCCAGTTCTCAGCTGAGCAAGTATTGCACAGCGTGCGTGCGCACGCTCGCGTCCCGTGCTCAGTGCTAGAGCTATCCAGGTGGCTGCTGCCTGCATTCATCAGCAAAGAAGCCTTTCTAGGTTTTGCAAAATAAATTGACTCTAGGTAAAGTTTGAATTGTAGACTAAATCAAAACCAGTTCTTCCCCCCCAACTCCTTCCACTCCAGGTAGGCATGCACTAATGCTCATAATAACCACCTTCACGCAAAAGCAAAGGCCACCGATAGTAAATTTTTCAGTTGATAACCAGTAGTTCAGCGTGTTTGAAGGCATCTACTGGCAGAGTTACCACAATAGATGACTAGGGCAGCATTTTGGAACAAGTATTTCCATTCCTTCGGGAGCTTGAGGAGACCCTTTGGGAAAGTAACAAGGCACAGAGAGGTACACAGAAAGGAATTCCTGAAAAAATAAGTGTGGGAGCTCAGCCTAGTGTGCACTCTGTCATGTCAGATATAGCTATTTACTAGATTATAGGCTCCACTGTACAGCACAGAAATTCAACTTTGGTGAATTTGACCTAGGTTGTAAAGAGCTGGGAAAAAATTACGATAATAATAACAATAGGAGAAAATTTCAATAACATTCATGGTCTGGACTTCCTTGTTGTCTAGATCTTGGATTCACTTGTTGTTTTCATAGTTACTTGAAGTCTCAAGTTGATTCATTGTTGGCAATTAAGCCGCCTGTGAAAACTAACTTAAATCTAGTAAATTGGAGTTTAAAAAAAGTTTTTAAAAAAAAAAACATTCATAGGCCAGCATGAGGAGTTGTTTCAGAACTGGTTAACTAATTAGCTTGTCAAAAAAATAGTAAGGGAAGAAATGTCTGTTTGAGCTATGGCACAAGTTCCTGACAATGTAAATGCCTTTTTCTCCCCACCATTCCTTAGGTTTGAAAATAACTGACATAGCTTTCGTTTACCGAGGAGAAAGAAAAACAGGAGAAGCTTTCGTGCAGTTTGCAGCTCCTGAAATGGCAGCTAAAGCCCTGCTACAACACAGGGAATATATGGGAAGTAGGTAAGGTGCTTCACTGGGGTTCATGAGGGTTAAAAAAACCCATGGTGTAAAGCATGCTGTGTCACTTAGAACTCACTTCTTACCAGGTGAAACAGCTAATCTTAGGCTATCTATCTATCTCATACATTATTATTAAGGAAGTCTCTACCTTTGTTGCCCTTAAAACCTAAAATTCAGACTTTAGATTCATATTTCAGTTGAAATCTTAGGTAAATCTTTTTCATAGTGGTGTCAGATTGTTACTTTGTGGCTTAAAACATCTCTTCTGTAATAGCCCCCTCTGAAATGCTGTGTGTTACCTTCTCTGGTGATGTTTTCTTTAGAACCTTGACAAAACTGAAGAAAAGAAGATGAAGCTTTTTGCAAGCTTCTGTGCGCTGCAGAGGCACCTTCGTTTTTTCACAGCTTGGGGGGGAATTTGGGGCCTATTGGAGGAAGTCCTGGTTCTTTTTAAGTACTCCTGAAGGCGGTCTCATCCCAACAACAGCGGGGTGATAGCATTCACAGCAGGGAATGCCAGATAGACACCGCCTGCCGGGTCACCGGCACACGGGGATCCTCCGCCTCCCGCAGACACTTGCCCCTGCCAGATTTTCACCAGATTTCCTAGTGCTTTCTGCAATTTTGGCAGCCCTCACCCTTCCCTTTAGCCTGGAACCGGCACAGTTACCATGTCCACTGGGAGAGGACATTTTACGATGCACAGCTTACCACTCACCTTTAGCTTGAATCCATTCCCAACGTTGACTGCTGGCTGACACCGTACAATCTTCTACCTCTTTGGTGACCGTATCCACCTGGGCTGTCCCCCTTCTGCAGGAATCCACGTTTAAGCATTGTCTTCCAGAGCTCTGAGCCCTGTGCCACACACCTCTCTCTCTCAAGCACAAGCATGTACCAGTTTTTCCCAGAATCCTCAGCTGTATTCAGAAAAAAGAAACAACCCTAAGATAGCTTTTTAACCTACTGAGGTTTCTGATTTTTCTTTAATAACCCACTGAGTTGTCTCATCTGAATACCAGGTAGCAAAAGCCCTCTCCAAACCTTACCACTTCTGCTACACCACACCTACTTCCTTTCTCCTATTTCCTGTGCCCAGTCAGCATTTCCTTGTGTTTGTCCCCCCCACCCATAATAAAAGAAAACAGCTGCTCTGTAGGTGCGCCCAATAATTGAATTAACTGACACACTGCCCTGCGTTCCAATAGAGATTAATTAATTCTCAGTCTGCCATTAATTTTTTTTTCATCACGATCGAACAAGAGCTGATCTAACTCACCTACCCGAGGTCGTACACCTCTGTTTCTGTGTCATTAGCCAGGAACCTGAGTGGTTTCCACAACTGCTGTCAGCTTGTTCTGGTTCATTCTTCCCGGGCTATGGATTTTATCCAGACGTGGCCTTCAGCTGTGCAGAGTCCCGAGCATGGGGTTATGTCTCGTACTGTAGCCATTCCCTTTAGGAAGGGAGGAAAGCCTCCTCAGACGTCTGTGTTCTCTTTTCCATCATATTATTCCTTCGGTGCTGTGGAAATCACTTAATTTAACACTGCTAGTTAAATTATGTGAGGCCCGGCTGGTTTTGTTGCCAGCTCTCAGAAAGATTAGCACAGGCAGCTCTGAGTTGAGGGTTCTGGGGCGAGTAGATAGAAATAGAAGGTGTTACGCTGTTATACTTTGACTAAACCTGCAAATAAAGGTTTGCTGTTGGGTTTTTTTCTTCCCGCGGCGTAAGCGGGCTCTTGCTGGAGTCCCTTAATGTTGCATTACATATGGGTGTATTATACCCCGACTTTCACACACACGCCACTGCATTTTGTCCTATCAATTTCATAGCAATATGTAGAATCATAGGGCTCCACTGAAGTATTTAATGATGTGACCCTGTGCATCTTTCACGTCTGCCTGTTGCAGTCATCTGTTTAGGGGCTGGGTGTTATTTTTACTTTGGGGTTTGTAGAAATGGGAATAGCGCAGTTTGCAGAGATGCACCGAGGGGAAACAGCGACGTGTACGGGGCTGCTCAAAAGGGATGCATACTACTGAAAGAGAAAACATTTTTCAGAGGACATAAACTCGTATTTCTGTGACAAAACAGAATTTTGGCTTCTGAGCGATCGATAAGAAAGAGCTCTGTATAAGGCTGTAAGCTAAAGACTGTCCAGACCGATCTGGTAGTCTGCCTTGGAGTAGGTGGGTTTGTACAGGAACGCAGCTGTCACTGCAAGTGGAAAAGGGCTTTCATAAACGTCTGTAATTTAATTTAATTACTTCTTCAGAACCGTTGCTTGCCATACCACAGCTCTCACACCTAGTACGTGAGCAGAGCTGAGCGAGGAGAACATCCCGCAGGTACTTTCTCAAAAACCTTGAGTTCTTTGCGGAGGCGCAAAGTGTGCCATGTAATCCTTTCCTGTGCATTCTAGGTATATAGAAGTGTACATAAGTAGAAAGCATCAAATGCAAAGGCACGTGCCTTATGACAGGCAGCTGCTGACCTACCCCAAAGTGAGAAAAGAACATGAACCCATCTCTGAAGAAAGGCCATTGAGCAACACGGGAGGCTCCACCGCTGAAAGAGAAAATAGTGAGTCCCTCCCTATCGTGCGCGTTCTTTGAGGCCTCATCATTTTACCCTTATTGTCTGCTGTGAGCATGACCCTGCGCATCTACAGCTTTCACCTGCAGGAGGTGTTAATTGCTAGTATTAATGATGTTTTTTCCTCTGTTCCACAGAATTGTGCAGAGAAGAAGAGGAAAGCTCCGGGCACGTTTCAGAATCTGAGAACATCTCATCACCACTGCACTTTGTTCACATGAGGGGTTTTCCTACACAAGCTAGTGCCCAAGACATAATAAATGTGAGTAACAATAAAACTATTAAATTACTCATGCAAACCCTTGATTAAGTGTTACAGATGAAGTGACGTCAAATTTTTAATTTGTCTGTGTTAGTCCTCAGGCTGAATGCATTTGGAAACATGAACTTGCTGAGGGTTCCAGGCTCCCCAGGGTAGCCGTGGCCTCACGGGCACCACAGCGATATGCTCGCCTCCATAAATAAAAACGGATTAAAGCCTGCTGGGCCATCTTAATACCCATCCCTTGGACTTGAGTAGCTATTTATAATCTTGGCTAGAGTTCACGGTCGCCAGTTGTACAAAAATGAATTTCAGAATCTTTTTAGTATCAGTTTTACTTCATTTTAATAGTATGCAGCATCACAGAGCGACTGTACCTGCACTTAATGACTTTGATGTCTGCAGACCGTGTGTGCTGTGTGAGGATTTTTGTTCCTGTCAAGACTTACTCTGCCAGGAGCTTACGAAGGGTGGGTGGCTGTGCATTGTGGGACAGGGGACTTGGGGGTGCCTCAGCTTCACCCCGATGGAGAGGGGGAGCCTTTTCCTACTTGAGCGCTCAGACACACCCCCACCACACACACACACACACACACACACACCCCCCCCATAGCTGGACAGGCTTTACAAGTAGAAACATCAGCTTTCTCAGAAATAGGGTGCTTTACTGCGCTGTTGTCTCTTTCTCATCTTCCTCCTTCTCAGTTTTTTGCTCCGCTGAAGCCCGTGAGGATCATGGTGGAATACAACTCCCATGGAGAAGCCACAGGAGAAGCAGACGTGCATTTTGAGAGCCATGAGGATGCAGTTGCTGCAATGGCTAAGAAGGGGTCACAGCTGCGTAAGTAAAGAGGAGGGGATCTTACAACCCCAAGGCTGAGATCCTCGCGTAGTTTGGCACAGCTTGTCAAGCTACCGTTAATATCCTGTGCAAAAGGATCCTGTGCCTTAAGTGTAGAGTTTCTAATTACTCTATAACGTGGCGTTGGCTTTGCATGAAAAAAAAGAAAATGTAACACATACAAATCACTGAACACAGACTGCCTCTCTCAAATTGTCCCCCAGAGTGCAGTGCCATTGAATTATTCCTGAATGAACATCCACAGGCAAAAGACGACTGCTAGTGACAGTGGCACGGTCTCAGATTTGGTAAGTGCATCCTGCTCCTCTTGTTCCTGGTCCATTTTTAGGACCGTATGCCTCAGACATACTGTTTCTGATACTTTGGATTTCAGCTAGCTTGAAGACTAACATGGAGAGTGGCTGAAGGCGATCATCAGAGCTCAGCTGAGGTCAGGCCCTGAGCCCAGACCCTCTGGCCTGCGACTCCGGCTGCCACGGGACAAAGTCCTGTGGCGAAGGGGCAGCAGGTCTGCGCTGAGGCTACAGCCAGCAATAGCAGAGGTTGCTGCGCTGCCCAGACCCAGCACAGCTACGCAGCAACACCCCTTTCACAGCCAGGGCCTGCTGATGCGTGCAGGGAGGGCTTTTTTGGTTTCCTCCTCCCCTCAGAACTCTGCTGTGTGGTGGATGAAAGAGTCTGATGGGGTTGTATTCCCCAGCATGGAAGAGGAACTGTGGCTAAATGGTTTCCATTGACAGTAACTGATCTGTTGCCTGGGGTGGGATATTGCTTACCTTTACAGACAAAGGAGTTTAGCAAAGTAACCTTGTTCAGGATGTTGGGGTTTTGTTTTGGTTGGGTTTTTTTTTTCCTTTTTCAATCCATCTGCTCTCTCAAAAGCAGGCCTGTGGCCTAGCTACCTGTGGCAGTCAACCTGTTTGCTGTGTAACCAGGTTGTAGTGTTTGTCATGATGTTAACAGTGGGGCCGGTTTGGTCTGTGCCAGCACAGTTCAGGGCTTGCTTTGGGGTTGTGAGTTTAGTTTGTTTTTTTCACACAGAAACTGTGTATCTCTCCTTGTCCTTTTCAAGGGAAAACTGGGGGACTGTGTTGGGTGTGAGCACAGGGGCTGGGGGGTCCTCCTGCAGCAGCAGGCAAGTGTGGGGCGGCAGTTTGTGCTGCTGTAAGGTCAGCAGGTGACACTTGTACTGAAAACACAAGACAGCCCTCCCTTCTGCGGAAGACGGCTTCCTCCGGCTGCGACCATGAGGCAGATTTGTATGAGGAAAGCAGCTTCCTGTGACCTTTGTGGAAGGCCCTGGCTGACCTGGCTGACCTGCTTCTGAAAGCAGCGGGGGTGACGGTTGCTGTTGCCCACCCCAAGCTGAAGCAGGAAGGGCCTGCACCCCCCCAGTGCCCCAGGCCTGCGTTCTCCTCCAGGCCAGGGACAAGCTCCTGGGGAGACGGAGGACACGCACGTAGCTCTGCCCTGCATCCCACGCAGCCTCCCTGCCGCCTTGGCACAGCAACAGTGTCCCGGCCCCAGCAGAGCTAAACAGCCCCCGAGCGTGTGTATGTCTCGCCTGTTGTAGCTGTTTGTGTCCTCTCACCGTGTTTGGTGAGGTCTTTTAGTATTGCCACACTCTGCTAGTCTGTTACTGGAGACAGTAATGTGGAATAAAATCAGAATGTGGAATAAAATCAGTGGTGCATTTGAAAAAAGGAAAGCAATAAACTGCAGCAAGGTAGTGATTTTTTTCCTTTTCCTCTTCTTTTTAGGCCAAAGTGAACACATTCCGTGGGTATGAGCATAAAGCTTGAGTACAAGTGTCGCTGCTCAATAGAAGGGATAAACTGTATAAAATTTAGTTCAGCGTTGTGTAAAAGCATGTAATAAATTGTGTTAACATACTCGGGAAAGATTGTCTGTTGCAAAAGCAGAAGCAGCTGTACTGGGGGAACGGCAAACGCAGCAGGATGGATCAGTTCCGGTCTCCAACTGCGTAACGGTGTACAAAGCATTAATAAACCACCAGAACTGGCCGTTCACAAAACCAGAGCGATTTCAGATCCTCGTACACCAGTCAGCAGGCCCACTGGGTAGCGTAACCAATGCCTCATCCCTCCTGCCACGCTTCTCTCAATCTGCGTTAGCATGTCATTTGTGACCAGCTCCGAAATCCTTTCATGCATGTAGCCAAAGCGGAGTGGAGTGGAAAAACCAGTCAGGAGGCGGGATACAGGTGATCAAGTTTTTATTATTGTAGGGAACAAAATTAACATCAGAAAAACTGCCCCAATCCCAACGTCCAGGTGTCAACCCACACTCGTGTTACCAGCGGGACCTGAGCAAACGTGCCTCGAGCGTGCAGCCCCCGAAGCGTAACATCCGGTACGCGGAGGCAGAGCCGTTCACAGAGCCCAGGACAGCAGGAAAGGCAAGTGGTGACGCTGGCAGCAACCGCCGTCTCGCTCTGACCTTTCTAAAGGCCGGTTTCCATTCCAGCCGCCAGAGCTGTGTTCTGAAGGGTTTCCAGCCAGCCCACGCGTAGAGACTTCGCGTCACTTCAGCGGACCCGCTGGAGAGCCGGCCTGCTCTTCACGTGCCCAGTCACAGACCGCTTGGAGGAGGTGGAACTGCAGCCGCTCCTGGCAGGACAGTGGAAAGCTGCCTCCAGGTCACAAACGAGCTGTAGCTTCCACGCTGCAAAATGCTGGATGTGCCAGCACTAAAATTTAACAGTACGCGCCCCGCTTCCAGTTGAATCCTCCAACATGGAAATTCCTTGGGTCTCGCTTTCTCCTCGGGGGACGAGTCCCACTGGGCTTGGATGCAAGAAATTGCCATCTTGTACATGTGTACAGAAGGTACACAGACCTGTAACACTAAATTCAGTATCCCTTCCCTTCAGCTCTGGTGTCTCGCCCCGGCAAAGCAGCCCGCCCACACTGCAGCTCTAGGCTTGTCGTATTTCAGCACTTTACAACTACTGCTCTACTCTAAGGGACAGCGGCAAGGCAATGGATGTGGCAACTGCCACGAGGGAGGGGGAAACAGCAGAAAAAGAAGAACTGTGCCCCCCTGCGACATGCTCTGGCTCTAAGGGCACTAAGAGGGGTTGGAGAACTTGGGTGGCTGAACGTGCCGAGAGGGAACCAGCAGGGTAATTCCCGGTACAAACTAGCACCAACCACGTAAATGACCTCAGCTCTGACACGCTTTGTCGTGCGGTTCCAGCCAGTCTAACACAGAAAATCCCCCCACCCACAGGAATTAAACCACTAACACCTAATAAAATTTGTCCTAACGCAAATGCATTTCTCACATATAAATGCGTCAGTTTTCTACTGACTACAAAACACTCCGTGGTCTTAAAGACTGAAGTAGGCTGCCAGTACAGAACAGCCCAAACCCAACTGCGACACGCTACGTGCTTCGCGCGGAAGTCACCGCCGCTTTTTGGGGTAACAGAACTGCCTGAGGGTAACAGCAACAAAGAATAACGTAGCATGAACCGTCAAACCTCTTTAATCTGTTTCAAGTTAGAATTTCTAGTAGGTCAAAAGCATTCCCGTTTCATCTCTCCTTCATTTTGATCTAACCAGGGGAAAAAAAAAGTGAGTTCCAGGTTTATGATGATTCTTGCACATGCACAAGGGGGAGGTGGATCCAAGCGGCCCTAAACCTCCTGGGAGGCGAGGGGGGTCTGGTCTGTAAATCCTGGGGAATCCCATTCCTCCAGGGACCCCCAGGACAGAAGCAGAGTCGCACCCTTCCCTCTGAGCACCATCTTGCAGCCGCGAGTCACAGTGAGGGTCTCGGAGGGGATGGCCGGAGATGCCCCAAGGCACTTCCAGGCCAGATCAGTGCAGGTCGTCAGTTCTCGCATCGCGCACGCCTCAGAACCACCTGCACCCCCAGCCCCTAAAATGAAGGAGAACTTCAACAGCTTGCTTTGATTTTTTGAGACTGACTGGCGTAGCCAGCCCACAGCCAGAGGGCTGAGCCAAAGAACCGACGGTCGAGGTGTCTGCTGGCATCTCACCTGGCCTTCCCACCCCTGGCGCTGACGTGGCGCGGGCGAGCCGGATTGTCAAAGCAAGCGGGGAAGGGGAAATGGTATTTCAAGTGCAGCCAGACATGAGGATTAAAAACTCCTGTTCTGCTTTCAGCGAGCCTTTGCTTAGCAGCAGCATGCTTTCACGCCACACGCCTGAGGACGAGGCTGTTCCCGACTTGCACACGCAGACACACACACGGCTCTTTTTTGGGCGAGGGCTGTGTGTGTTCTCAGCGCGCCCTGCGGCCGGTCGGGCACAGCTCGGGGATAACTCTGTGACGTGCCCCAAGCAGCTCTCCCCAGCGCAAGCTCGGCTCCGAGAGCAGGCAGGCTCTCGTACAGGGAAGGCTCAGACTTTTTTAAGTCACAAGAGACCGTAAACACCACGAAGCTGCTTCCCCTCTGACCTCCAAAGAACACAGGCAAGCGTCTTCACGTTCCTCCTGAACTCCAGAAACCATCATTAGCTACAACCAGTTTTTGGTCACCTCTCTCTGCAACCCGTCCCCTACAAGGGACTGCTCGAGTACTGCTGGATGAGCTGCTCGTGACAGGGATTGCAGACGCGCTCGGGGTTAATACTAGACGGAAGAGGCAGCTCATTCGCCGAACAGGTTTCACAGAAGATGCCGCCACAATTCTTGCAGATGTTCTGGAATGCAGGAAGAGGACAAAAATTAAGGAGATGCTCAAGACACAAGCAGCACAAAACCCCTTATGTTTTCTCTCATTATTCCATCAACCCAAATCTCCACTGGGCTAGAGAAAGGCGCTCCAAAACTCCACTCTAGTCCCCTCAGAGGACCAGAACTTTGCTCCTGGGCTCAGAACCAGTTTATAGCAAAGCTCCTTAGGTCACATGAGAGTAGGTGAAGGCCTGCAGTAAAGCAGGTAAGAGTTACCAAGAATGGACCATCCAAGTTCTAATTGACTCGGTCTACCAGAGCGTTTTGTCACAAGAGGGGCACGTGGGTATTTTATAGCCATATACATACGTCTTGCCCGAGATAAGTATTTAAATGTACACGTGCACTGGGAAACACGTCAAAGGCGGATATAAATCCGTGGCAGTTGCTTGGACCTCACGCGTTTTCTCAGGATAAGCAGAGGGGAATGGGAAAGACTAGAAATCCTGCAGAGAGTTCCCACACGTGTAACAGGAGAGTTCAGGGGGTGACTGGGGGGCAATGGGGCCCCCTCGCTGCCTGTTGTAAGCATCATGGTACCGCAGGGTCGGGGAGGAGAGGGCTGGCTTCTGCCCGCGCCGAGGACCACCACCTTCGCAGGCGCGGCGCGGCAGGCTGGCTCCGGAGCAGCTCTTGACTCAGGCAAAACGCCTCATCGCCAGAGCCGTCTCCGTGCCAGGCAGAACTGCAAACGCGGTGGCACTGCCCGCAAGAGCAGCAACTCGTCACCGGTCACTCGGCCAGAGTAAGAGAAAAAGGCAAGGTGGCTTTTGGGGAGAAATACCACGCAAGTGTGAACACCTCCTATTCTCACTTCTGATTGACCCCAGAAAAAAAAGACTGAGCAAAAACGGGAAGAAGCTGCTAAAGGGAAAGAAAACCAAGCTGCTGAACACAGAACAGTGCGGGGAACCCTCAAGCGACCACTGTTCAACAAGTTCCCTTTAAGGGTAAAGCGGACTTGAGACAAAGGGCTCATTTCTTTGTCTCAAGTCACCCGTAGGAAATCTGTGCTGTTCAAAAATGAGAATTAGAGGAAACGCACATTATGACAATACAAGTCCTTGGAGTTACCTTTTTTTTGCTTCGGCTGCTTTCCTCCTGGCAGAGCTGGCAGATCTCAGCGTTTCCAGGTTCTGACAGCTGTTCCTAAACCCCAAGTAAAAACCAAGACGCTCTGTGTTACATGACAGCTACATTAAAGCTGCATCAGGGAGGAAGATGTTACACGCTCGTGTTTCTAACTCCTCTCTATTCACCGCACACCCTGCGCTTGCAGGATGACCTGCAGTTGTACGCCACAGGGCGGACGGGGAAGCGTGAACCAAGGACCACACAGCTCAACTTTCAGATCAACGCTGCTGGCCCAGCAACGAGGCGGGAAGAAAATATCTTTTTCACTGTGAAAAAGAGCCGACGGACGCAGAAATTCCCCGCAGACGGCACACGACGCGAGCGTTGCTGCATCCCATTGACAGTGAGGGGTCAAGCCGCGCTTTGCCAGGCACCCAGGGGAGAAAGAATGGATTCGGGTCAATCTGACATACGTGGACAAACCAAACCAAACCAACGGACCAAACCCCCTGCCCTCTACCCTACAGAGCACCTGGGAACACCCTAGCCTCGACCACGGAGGTTTAACACCGCCATTTTCACAAACACTCCATTCTATTATGCTTTTGTTGTTCTTTTTAGAGGCATCAATTCAGAAAAGGCATGGGGCAAAGGAATATTAAAAGGCGTTACTGTTAGTTTCAAAACCAGCGTGGTCGTGCTGAGGCGGCCGCACGACCTGGCGCGGGTGCGGCACTGCCAACGCCAAGCCTTTCTAACGAGACAAGCAGCACTTTTCCACGAGGGAACGACTGCTGCTACGGACTCTGCAGACAAGGCAAAACCCGAAGGACAGACTTCAGGGAATTTGGGCAGGGAAGATGCTCCCGCAGTACTGTCGCCCTGCAGTACTTCAGTGCAAGAAAAGGAATCACCAACCTGCTCTTCCTGTGCGTCGCTCGGTAACCTAGGAGAGAAGAACATCATCGCTCAGAGCTGGCACTTCAGTCACCGCCACATTCAAGAAAAACATCTGAACTATCGGGGAATTCCCTCATCCTGTTTTTAAAATCCTACCCACACCGATTTTTGGGGTTGTTTCTTCAAAACCACGCTGCCAAGCCCGCTCGCGTGAGAGGCGAGGCGTCCATCGGCAGTACGCGACTGGTGCTGTTCAGGCACGCAGCGCTCCTGGGTAAACGGGAAGAGGAGGAGAAAAACTGCAAAACGCCTTCAGGGAGCACACAGATAAAAAAGACTGTTTGGATGGTGCAAACACAGTTTGAAACCAGCTTTGAACACACGACCGCAAAACGTTTGATCCCCTACAACGTCTGTGAACAGGCAGCGATAACGTGCGCTGAGGCCTCCCAGATAAATCGGCAGCCTGACGCTCACGCTGCTCGAACGCTCGAGGTGAAATGGGGGTAAAAAGCATCTAAGGCCTGGAAGGTATTTTAATATCTGGTAAAGCAGATTTGAATTGAGCTCATGCTATTTTTCAGAGAATACTTTTCTGATTAACTTTACATTGGCATTCAGGGCACGCGTTTCGTCACTGACATTCAGGGCACTTCAGATGGCTGTTGCCACCTCCGAGCAAAGTCCTCGTTACGGAGCTGTTCCCTGCGGCTTTCAAAACATCTTTTCACGCTTAAAACCGAATCTGTGACTTAGCTTTCAAATACTAAACAAATCCAGCACTTGGCTTACGAGGGTTCGTTAAGTAACAAAAATCAGTAAACGGCAGAT